GTGGGGACTGGGGGTGGGGGGTGGGGGTTAAAAAAAACCTATAAATACTCCTAATTTTAAACATTTTTTCACACCTCTTCTCCAACTCTCCCTAAATCCTACTCTCTACTCATCTCCAATTCTCCATATTCATCTTCTCAAATTCTCTTATTCTCCTTTATATTTTATTTTACTATTTAATACTTATACAATTATTATATCTACTTATATATTAATTATCTACTTATAAATACATATACTATATTACTTATATTTCTTATCTACTTAATCTCTACTTATATCTCTTAATACATACATACATACTACATCTACTTAATATATACTTTATATAATAAAGTATTAAATATACTTTATAAACTATTACTATATACTTAATACATAATAATATCTACTTCTCTACTTAATAATATCTATTTTATATATACTTATTTTATAATATCTACTTTTATATATACTTTATAATATCTATTTTATATATACTTATTTTCTTATTTTCCAATCTCCAATTCTCCATTATACTCTAATATTTAATTCTTATACAATTATTATATCCACTTAATACATACATTCTACATCTACTTAATATATACTTTATATATTAAAGTATAAAATATATATAAGTGTATTACTCATCTTATAGTAGTATACTTATATATTATATACTATAAACATTATATTATATATTACTTACTATAACTAGTATTGTACTAGTTAATTAGTTAATTAGCATTCTTGTTACATTTATCATTATAATAGTTAATTAGTTCATTACCATTATTGTTACATTTTTCATTATACTAGTTAATTAGTTTATTAGCATTCTTGTTACATACTTACATTTGTCATTATACTAGTTAATTAGTTAATTAGCATTGTTGTTACATTTTTCATTATACTAGTTATTTACTTCATTAGTATTCTCATTAATTGTTAAAACAACTCTACTTCAATAAACTAGTTAATTGTCATTAATTCATTATAGTTAAAGTCACATTTTCTTATTTTCAATTTATATTTGTAGGAAGAAATAGTAGTTCAATCATTTAATTAAAGTACTTAACATTTTGTTTAAGTAGTTTTTACTAAATTACAGTACTTCAAAAGTTGGTATAATTTTAATTTTAAAGTCACACATTAATTCTACTTTGCACTAAATTAGTTTGAAGTATTAATTAAAATAGTTTTAATTAGTTGCATTAGTTTTGTATCCATTATTATATTGGTTGTCAATTAATATTTGTTACATTTTTAAGATGGAAGGTGGTAGATATTCGGTTGATTTGGGTAACCTCCAACGCAATCGAAGGAACGAGATTGGGAGGAAGAAATCCCGCAAAGGTAAAGAACTTGCCGGTTCTTCATCTCAAAGCCGAGATGATTTTGAAACGGGTTACCAAAGGCGAGATGGAGATGCGATGTCCGAAGAACAACTCCAACAAGAATTGGCCCGACATAATAACCGCTTTCTACAACAACAACAACAAATGCCGACGACCATTGACGAAGAGGAGCTTGAAGATGAAGATGCGGAGGAATTGGAACCGGAGACGGCCGAGGAGGAGGGTGCCGGCAGCCACGACGCCGACGAGCCTGCCTCATCCCAAACCGCCACCGGTAATAAAAAAAGTAAGTCTGAACTAATGAAAAATAATTTTGATAAATGGAAGGACCCACAAACCGGCTATTGGCACGCAACTTGCAAGTGGTGCAACAACAATTATAGTTTGGGAACCTCCGGCGGATACGGATCCGCTGCAAGGCATCTTAAGGCAAAGCACCCCGTGGAGTATGCAAAATTAGGCGGCGGAACGGGGAAGCAAACTCAAATATCGAGGTTTGCGAATTCTCAACCTTTTGGTAATTTCTCCTACAATGATGCACAAAATTTGACTGGTATGGCTAACTTAATTTGTGAAGAAAATTTAACTTATTTGTTTTCTGAAAGTCTTGCTTTAAGAGATTATGCACAAGGTAGTTTAAATCCTCAATTTAGAAATTATAGTCGCAAAACTGTTAAGAAAGAAATAATAAGGCTTTATAATGCGGAAAAGGTAAGGTTACAATTTTTTTTTGCAAACTTTGATGGGCGTGTTACTATTTGTTCTGACATATGGGAGGATGATTTTCATCATTTATATTATTTGGGTCTGACTGCACATTATATTGATGAGGATTGGAATATGCATAAACGTGTTCTTGCTTTTCGTGAATTTAATGATCGTCACACCGCTGAACATATTTATATTTTGATTGAGCGTATTTTAATTGAGTATAATTTGATTGATAAAGTGTTTGCTATTGGTTTCGATAATGCTACTAATAATACTGCTGCTATACCTAGATTGCGTGAGTTGTGTGGTGCCAATACTTTGATGGGTAGATTTTTTCATCAACGGTGTGCATGCCATGTTATAAATTTATGTGTGCAAGACGGTTTAAAAGCGTTAGGAGATTCCATGGAGGTAATCAAGGGGGGGATTAGACGTATTTGGGGTAATGGTCAACTTAGATTAAAATGGCAAACTTATTTGACTGAAAGAGGTGTGAGATATGTTGCTTTTCCTAAAGATTTGAGTATTCGTTGGAATAGTACTTATAAATTACTTAAAGTTGTTCTTAGATATAAAGAACATTTTCCTGCTTTTTTAAAAGAACATGATACTATATTATAAACGCGGCTGAGATCGACACTTGCAAAAAAATTTGTAATGTTTTGATATATTTTTTTAATGCTACTGAAACTTTTAGTCATGTTTATAAACCTACCGCAAACCAATTTATTCCACAAGCTGTTAATCTCGCCGATGCTTTTAAAGAATTTCAGAATGCCGTTTTCGTTCATTATTTTTGTGATTATATGAAGGAAAAGTTTTTAAAATATTATGCGCATATTCCTCATATTTATGGTATTGCATTTATTCTCGATCCTCATTATAGACTTGCTAATTCGGAAGATTGTTTCAACTTCTATTATCTTGCGTTTTTTGGTGAATTTCCAATGTATGACGATAACCCCATAGATCCGAAAACGGAATACAACGAGGTTAGTACTTTATTTTATGCCTTATTTAATGAGTTTCGTGCACAATATAGCAACGCTCCCCCTCCCCCGTCACGAACATCTTCATCTAAAGGAAAATCGATTTTTAAATCTGCATTTGGCAATCTTATGAAAAAAACAAAAACAACTCACGTCACTGAACAAAGTGCATTGAATGAGATTACTTTGTATTTAACATATGAAGTTGATTTTGAAGAAAATGATGACTTTGACGTTCTAGACTGGTGGAAGTCAAAAGAAAGAACGTTCCCGATTTTAGCACGGATGGCTAAGCAAGTACTATCAATGCCGATTTCAACAGTTGCTGTGGAACAAGAATTTAGTTCGTCCGGCAACGTCCTAACGGCATCTAGATCGAGATTGAGCGCTGAGTCTCTTGAGACGCTTATATGCTACCACGATTGGTTGAAGGCCGCACGTAGAACTCAAGAAATGAGCATCATCCCCTCCCAAGATTTTATGGATGACTCAACAACCGATGGTGGCTCTGCCTACGCCAGAGATTCCGATTGATTAGTATTTTAGAATTTATTATAAAATGTATTTTATAGCACTTGTCAAATTTATTTATACTTGTACTTCATATTTCAAAATTGTAAACTTGTACTTCATATTTCAAAATTGTAAATTTGTAGTTGTACTTCAAATTAATTTGTAAACTTGTACTTCATATTTCAAATAAATATGTGTTCACTTTTTCATATGTAGCACTTCTCAAATTAATTAATTGGTTACAAACTAACGACTAAAAATTATTTTTCTAAAATATAAAGCCGGTTTTTAAATTAAAAATACATTTACAATATGTAATTTGTTTAAATACTTATACACCTATTTTGTAACATTTGTAAATTATAAATCAAACCACTTTTCTAAGTACAAATAGTTTTAGTTTTACTTAATTCATTAAATTAATTAATTTATTTTACAATATGTATAACTTAAAAAAAAATGAAATCAAACCTCCCAAACGGCTATATAGCCGTTGGGGCTATGGGTGGGGGGCAGGGGGGTCCCGGGGGTGGTGGTGTGGGGAGTGGGGTTCAAAAACATCTATAAATACATCTATTTTCTAACATTTTTCTACACCTCTTCTCCAATTCTTCTCCAACTCTTCTCCATCTTCATCTTCTCTTATTATCCTACATTCCTACTTATACATATACCATTTTAAATATGGAAAGTACATCTTCCTTTATGCAAAACAATTTTGACAAGTGGAAGGACCCGAAGACCGGACTGTGGTGGGCAACTTGCAGGTGGTGCAAGAAAGATTGTTGCTTGGGGCGTTCATACAGATACGGAATGCCAATAAAACATATAAAGTCCTGTGACAAAGGGAAAACAACAACCAACGGTGGCGGAAATCCCAATTGATATTCATTAAAAAATGTATTTCGTATTGTTATTTTTTTCTCAATTCTCAAATGTAGTTCTTATTTCAAATAAATGCACTTGAACTTTGTTTTTAATAGGAATTTGTATAATATATAATTAATTAAAAAAATGGCCCGGCCCGGCCCGGCGGGTGGCCCGACCCGTGACCCGGGCGGGTGGCCCGGCCCGAACCGGAACCGGTCACTGCCCAGGCCAGTCCCGGGCCTACCATTACAAGACCCGAGGCCCGACCGGGCCTTGACCCGACCCGGGTCCATCACTACATGTAATGTGTTTTCGGAATTCTAAATGTGTAATCATGTAATCTCAATCAAACAAACAAACTTGTTTGATAAGGAGTATATTTCATAAAAGAAATATTGAAAATTTATCACAACCTTATCGTTTTTGTCATAAACAAAAACTCATAAATTGCATACCATAAATAACATTCAGTGAAAATCTTATATTTAGTCGCATAATTTTTTATTATAGGTATTACATTACCAACACAACCTGTTGTTAACCCAGTATTAGATTTTAAAAATGCTTTGAACTGTAATGCAGAAGAAACAATGCTCAATTTTCACTATGTTTAAAACTTTAAAATAGATACATATAAACTTAGAAGGCGCTTGGTCAGGAGAGAAAAAAGGATTGTTGACGGCCTCTTGCTGAAGGTTGGCAGAGTGCAGGAGTGCAAGCAAGCATTTTTTTTTCATTTTTTTTTGAGTGCAGGAGTGCAAGCAAGCATTTAGAAAGTGCTTTTAGACTGTATCACACACCAGTAGAAACAGCATAAAAAATGTTTAACTGATATAGGCATATACCAAAATTCATTTTGGGTACACCAACAAAAGATAGAATAAATCAAAATATTCATTATAGAGGTTTGAACTTCCTTGCAGCTCTCAATTGCTGGGCACGCTTTTTATCCTGCTCAAACTTGCTCTGAAGCTCCATTATCTCTGTTGTAAAATAAAGGAAAAAAGAAATAACATCAAAATGTCATATTTATGTAGAAGTACGAATTTTGAGCTACACTCTATGGCCATTTGGTAGCAACTTTTTCCGGCTTATCAACCATTTTTGTGACACTAATTTATTATAATGAAAAGTTAGTTTTGTAGGCTTGTTGGTACCTTTATGGCAGAATTTGACTAAGGTACGGAAAGATGAACATTTTTGGTATTTTTTTCAATTGCTTTTTTTACTTCAACAAAAATATAAATTCCAAGTATATAATATTTTCCTTATTTTGCATGTTAATCAATATTATAAATGATTCTCTGCAAATTAAACAATTCCATCCAAATTGACTTCAACTGCATAGGCTCTATATGATGAATGAAATGATGGACTCCAGTTACACAAACAAGCAAACTTGAATTATTTTACTAGTCATAGTGTCATACCATTTCTCTTGGCTTCCCTCCTCTGAAATTGGTACAAATTCAGACCTGCTTCGTTTGGCTTCTTTTTGGCCAGATTTTCTAATACAGCAGCCTGGGAAACAGAACCTACAGCAACTCCAGATTCAGAATCTACTGTCTTCTTTCTTCCCTTATGATGTGACACAACTGTCCATCCATCTTCAGCAATAAGGGCTTCTTTGACCTTCTTCTCCTGTATGCCCCCAAAAACAAGCTCATTTTATAAGGGCAACAACACACTAACTAACAAAGCTAATACAATATTGCACTCAATAACCCCACACTAAGGCTGGGTTCAGGGATAGAATAAGTGATCATTTTTATCCACAACTTGTCCAGTTTATAAACGTTTAGCATAACAAATACAGCTTGATCTTCAGATTTTAAAGTTACAATACACTAAATATTCCGAAAACTAACTCCAGGGATTGTATTGTTAAAAATTAGGAAGTTTATATAGTGAAAAATTGGAATACTTTAATATTCTAGTGAAAAATTAAAATCAGGTGATGCCGAGGAGAATTGATTTTAATATTGTATAAAATACGATATATAAGTAAAAAATGACTTCATATCTAACAAAGAAAATGAATAAGTAGACTTCAAACATTGTACGTCAAACAAAAACACCAATGAAATGGAAAGATAAAAAGAAACTCATGGCTTACCTGTTCCTTTTCTGCTTCATAAGCAACTATGTAGTCGTCAATTTTTTCTTGCAACACCTTCAATCCTGGTCTGCTCTGATAATATTCTGTAACCCATTCTGCATTAAGGGACAATGCAATCCATTCAGGACAATTGTATGATGCTAAGCAAAGTAAGCCTTAATTGTAACATGGTAGGTACTCGCATCACACCACTAGTAAAGAGGAAATCATATCTATAACTGAATATAAACACAAGTATTGATTTCCTTCTACAAAACGCTTCACCAGAAAATACATGTCAAATTATAAATGAGGTTAAGCCATACTTCGCATTCCTTTAGAACTTTCATCTCCAGAAGATAATTCATAAACTTCTTCATCTTGTCTACTTTTTCCCACAAAATTATCTGCACTAGATGGCTGGTCCTCGAGTTTCCTTGCCTTGCCTGCAGTTCAAGGGTTTGAATAGTACACACACAAAATCTTCTTTAATAGCCAGTTCCATCATCGAATAAAACATAATGGTACTCAATCAGAAGTAAAACAATTTTACAACTTAGAGGATGACTCGTAATTAAGTCATTAACACGGGTTTTTTTACCTATCCGGACAAGTCAAGAGATACTTTATGCAATAATCTGAACTATTTTACATTGTAGAATTGTAAAACAAGAAGAAGAAAAAGAAGAAGAAAATTTCATTATACCATTTTTTTGCTGAGACATGTTTTCAGCATCAATATAGGACCTGGCAACTCCATTTCTCCTTGTTTTCTTCTCACTTTTTCTTTTCCTTGATTGTCCATTCTGAATTTCCTCAGCTTCATTTGCATCATTGGCTACATTAGTTCCTTTCTCCATTTTCCGCTTTTTCTTTGATTTTCTCTTCTGGCTTTCCTCAACTTGATTTGCATCACTGGCCACATTAGTTCCTTTCTCCATTTTTCTCTTCTTCTTTGGTTTTCTCTTCTGGCTTTCCTCAACTTCATCTGCATTACTGTCTACTACAGCATTTTCCCCACGTTTTGTTCTCTCTCTTCTCGATTTTACCTTTCGGGTTACCCCAATATCAGTTGCAATGCTGTCCTTCTCCGAGCCAAGTCCGCATTCTGTTTCACTAGGTTTGGGATCGGCAACATTTTCCTTTTCAGCTAATTCGCAGGTCTCCTTTTTCTTAATCTTTAACGATTTCTTCTTTCTCTTCCCTCTGACGGTTGTATCTATTCCACCTGCTTAGAGAATTGAGAATGAATCCATGACAAAAAACCCATCATCTCATACAAACAGAATACATACCCATAGGCTTCGGCCGCGTCGACCCTGGACTAATGGAGGCGTGGCGCGGTGGCGGCGATTGAGGCGTTGTCGACTCGTCGTTCGTACGTCTCGCCCCTTTGTGAGTCGTTGTCCCTAGTCGCTCACTCGCTTCAACTCCTTGAGACCTTGAAGTCCTGCAGTGCAGTGCAGAGCGCCAGAGCAGGACGGAGGAGCCGTCTTCCGTTCTTTCTCTTCTCTATTTTCCTAGACCTGGGCCGACAACACCCTAACACTAGTACGTATATAGTACATTAAATTTATCTTTTTGGCCCATTGGGTTGGGTACCCATGCTGTAGAGTGATTATGTTCGAATCCGGACATAGGAAGTGTTTGCAAAAAAATAAAGGAAAAATTGAAAACAATAATCCCAACTATTGCTGGTCCGCTGAAAATAATCCCAACCATTGATTATTTTTGTATAATCCCAACTATATAGACCATCCGCCAATAATGGTCCATGACCATATATTACCTCTATAAAAAGTGAATTTTAAATAGAAATTAAGCGCAAAAATTAAAAGTTGAGATTATTTATAGGGATTACTTGTTATATCTCATCTCATTCACTTTAGAAACTACAAGAATTTATTCATAGGGACCATTATTGGCGGAAGGTCCCTAAAGTTGGGATTATTCTGTAATAATCAATAGTTGGGATTATTATGAGCGGACCGCCAATAGTTGGGATTATTACTCTCAATTTTTCCAAAAATAAAAGGTTTTTCTAACTTCTGGATTAAAACAAATTAAAATGAGTGTTTTCAAGAGTTAAAAGCTGAAGTAATCAGATGAGTGATTTAAATTACTTTTCACTTATTTTTCTAAACAATATAAATTAGTCATCTTTTTCTCAAATATTACCATTTTTTAATATTAAGCACTTTCTCCAAAATTACTTTTTAAACTAGAAGCAATTCAGGCGTCGTCTTTCAATCCGTTCGATCGTTCGCGGCAAAGGAGGGAGGAGTCGTCATCTCTGGCCTTACTCTTCTCTAACAATAGTGATGCAATGATCCAAACTATTTGACGGTGATATCAACACTCAAATATTCTTAGTAGATGTATGATTCAATTGGATTGTTCTTCTCTTCTAGTTGTGTTGATTTTGTTCTTTGGCGGGTCTTTCTCTATGTTGTAAAAACCGGACCGGGAGGCGACCCGGACGAACGATCGGGTCACGGGCCAACCCGGACCCGGCGGGTCAACCCGGTCAACGCCGGAAAACCCGGTCAACTCTTATATAATTTTTTTTAGTAATAAACATATATATTAATATACTTAAACAAATTCTTGAGCATGATAAAATAATAATTATACTTAGTTAGCAATTTTTTATGTCCAAAACATTTTTGGATATTTGTTTTAGTTCTAAAATATTTGAATATAGCGTTGAATAAGAATTATTATTTGTTTTTTAATATTTAAAATTCAGTGTATTTATGTGTTCATCATATTCTAGAATATAGTTTTAAACATATTTGTATCAATAATATTGTTTTATGGAGTATCTATCGTGTACCTCTATAAAATATTTTCATAAGAATTTCTGTAAATAGTAAATATTTAAATATATAACATGCTATATATAATAAAGAAAATGAAAAACTACACTTATTCTAAAATGTTAGAAGTGCTTTTTAAGTATTTTACTTTATATTTGAATGTTATATAAGAAGTAAATATTAATACGTATAGGATAGTAAAATAATACGGATTACCATTTACTATGTATTTAACATGTTAACTTTTAGATGTGTATAATAGATGCTAAAGAGCGGATCCAGCACAAGGTATAGTAGTAGTAAGTTGGACATAGCATTTAACTTTCTCACGTTCCACCCGGGTTCAATTCCCTCTTGCGTTGCAGTTTTGTATTCTATTAACAACCGGTTTCTACTGAATTCCCGGATTTGTGCGGGTCCGGGCGGTGCCCGGGTACGAGCGGATCCTTCGGTTTTTCCGGTTTAAGCAATGCTTGCGGGTCAGTGTCTAACCGGACCGGGTAGGAATCCGGTTCACCGGTTTCCGGGCCGACCCGCCCGGTCCGGTCCGGTTTATTAAACATAGGTCTTTCTCGGGCACCGATGATCTGAAATGTTTTTGTCTATCTCAACACGGGGAGTTCTGTCGATGTCCCAGCTAGCTTCGTCTGGTTAGAGGTTTCTGTCTACCTTCTTTTAGAGTGCTTAAACATTGATAAGCTCGAACTCATCCAGAACCACCTCCGTGTCATGAAGAGGTTTGTTGAAAAACTTTAATTCAATTTTATTTTTCCATTACTAGTACCTGTTTTTATTTTCGTTTGAGTAGGTTTGGTTTGAATATTTGGATTTTCGGTGTACGTTTGATAGACAATATTTCAGTCTCGATGATTTTAGTATTTTAGTAGATGAAATGACTGGATCTATATCATCAGAATTCGCAACTGAATCTGTTATAACTGTCTAAATGCTATCATGTGAGTTAGGGCTGAGCGCGGATCTAGGAATTCCCGTTTCGTACCGAATAACCGTCCCGAACCGTTCCAGAACCGATAGAACCGGAAAAATGTAATACCGTACTGTACCATACCGAGCTTTTTTAATAAGATGGTACGGTACCGGTTCTTAGTGAGAACCGTTCCGGAACCGTCCCGGAACCGTATTGAACCGAACCGTCTCGTACCATACCGAATTGTCCCGAAAACTAGTGTTATAATATAATTATATATTATATATTTTACCGAGTGTAAATGCTAGTTGCCGTATGTCATTACAAATGTGCAATCTTGCATATTCTTTGTCATGATAACTTTTTGGTTTTTCAGCTTGACGATCACTTTTGCCTCTTAGTTTGGATGTTACTTTTCTTTATTATAGTTTGATTATTAGTTTCATATTTCAATTTGATCACACAAGATCAATTAAATTTAGTCTTGCTAGTTCTTCTCTTAAATTTTTGTAGAGTTATTTATAAATGTTAAAATCTAAAGTTTTTTATATTTCATGGGGGTTAATTATTTACGAACTAAATAACATCGAAAAACCATACTGAATCGTACCAAAAATTGCTACGGAACGGGACAGGTTATATATATATGCATGACGGTACGAGTTCTTGATTTTTAAAAGAACCGTACTTTATGAGTATATTTTATCGACTTTAATATAGAAAGTAGATCCTTTATATTAAAAAAACTAGGAGCCATCCAAACATTTCATCACCCTGACATTCTTGTCAACCAGCTGAGTAATTGGACATCGCCAGCGAGTAAAAATACAGTAATACACCCTCTAAGTTCCGTTAACTCAAAACCCTAACACCCCAATCCGACTTTCTACAGAACGAAGAAGCAATTTGTTCAGGAATGAGAAACCACTGGCGATTGATTCTTCTTCTCCGGTCAGCTTACCCAAACGTAGCAAGAACCATATATCACTCTCGATTCAATGGGCAGCTAGGGAACACTTCCCGTTGCATTTCTTCTGCGCCCTTCCACTTCCGTGCACATCACATCTCTCCTTTCCAAACCTCTACACCGTTCCGTTGTTTTTCCACCGATCACAACGGCCAATCGGATCCAATTACTACTGTGTATGATATCTTTTCTAAGGCGGACAAAACCAATGAGGATATCCGGCTTGATTTAGAGTCCAATGGTATTGCTATTACTCATGATTTGGTTCTTAGGGTTTTGCGGAGTCATGGATTTGCCCCTGAATCCGCGCGTAGGTTCTTTTACTGGGTTTCAGAGAACGATAACGAGAGATTAAGCTCAAAGTCGTATAACCTTATGCTAGGTGTGCTGGTTAACAGTGGCAATGTGAATGATTTCTGGGAAATAGTTGATGCAATGAAGAAGAAAGGGTACGGAGTGTCTAAGGGTGCTTTTAGTAGGGCTTTGGGGAAATTTGAGAAGGAAGGTTTAGTTGATGACATTCAGAAGCTGAACCACATGTATGCTTCTGGATCAACGGACAATTCCATAGAGAAGGTTGTTTCAAGGATATGCAAGATTATACGCCAAAATGTTATCTGGGATGATAATTTGGAAACCCAACTGAGGGGTTTCAACTATACTAGTGATTTGGTTTCAATGGTTTTGATGAATCTTGAAAATGAAATCAACAAAGGGATGATATTTTTCAGATGGATTGAAGAGAGTGGTTCGTTCAAACATGATGGTTGTACATTCAATGCTATGGTGAGAGTTTTGGGCAAAGAAGGTTCAACTGAGAAGTTTTGGAGGGTTATGAGTGAAATGAAAGACAGTGGTTATGAAATGGAAACCTCCACATACCTTGAACTCTTTCAACATTTCACTAGTAAGAAAATGATTAGAGACGCTGTTGAACTCTATGCATATGCAATGTCTGGTGTAAACAAGCCATCTCTGCAGGATTGCACTTTTCTGTTGAAGAAAATAATTGTTAGCAAGGATCTCGATATGGATTTGTTCTCACAAGTTTTGAGGGTCTTCAAAGAAAGTGGGAACACGCTAACAAAATCCACTCTTGATGCTATCTTGAAGTCATTGTCCAGTACTGGAAGATGGGATGAATGCAATAAGATATTGACAGCAATAAAAAACTTTGGGCTCTTACCTAATGAGTCTCAGCAAAGTAAGATTGCATATTCTCTTAGTTTGTATGAAAAGAGCGAGGAAGTAACTGAGTTGTTGACCAATATGGACTCATCAGATTCTAGTCTGAGTTATAGAGCTTGGGCATCGTTGGTTGAGGGATACTGTGAAGCTGGAAATCTTTGCAAAGCCTCTGAGGTTCTTGAGAAAATGATTGGAAAAGAAGGTCCTGCTTGTGCTGAGAATGTTCTAGAATCATTGGTGTCAGCATACTGTTGTGAGAAGAAAACTAAAGATGTGTTTGGACTTGTTAAGAATTTGGTAAATGAGAAAGGCTTACATCCTCCGCAAAGCACCTATAAGCTGTTAGCAGGGAAATTGTTGATTAAGGGGTATTTTTCTGAAGCTTTAGAAGTTCTTCATATGATGAAGAATCATGGGTATCCACCTTGTATCAGTGGTTTCATCAAGTATCTGTCCAAATATGGAAGTGCCGAAGATGCCCTAAAGTTTTCAAAAGCGATGACTGTGAAGAAGTTTCCTTCAAAAACTGTAATTCTCAATCTGTTTGAAGCATATTTTAAAGCAGGAAGGCAGAATACAGCTCAAGACTTTCTTGCCAAATGTCCAAAGTACATACGCGACAATGCCGATGTGTTGAATCTGTTTTATTCC